CCCACTGTTCATATTTGGACTATTGCAAGAACAGTTATGTGAACACTTACACATGTATTGTCCTGTTGGGACAGGAGGCAGCCGACTCCTCTTTGTCGGCCAGTTTGACAGCCTGCAGTTCAAACCTGGAGACAATGGTCGCCCGCGGGACGGTGAAGTGGAAAATCTGTGCGCTGCCGTAGCCATTCCACTGGTGCATCACCTTCGTCTGGTGAACCTCAACATTCTCCCTCACAGCTGCACATACAGAACAACACAACTCAATGTCAGGATGTAAAACAAGTACAATGTACTGTGAAAGAGTTGAGTCGAATACTGTAAATCATTTATGTTTGTGGTGGCAAAAGTTCCCAGTCCAAGAAAAATGGACAAGTTGGCAGAACTATACGTTTGTGGTGGCAGCAGGTGCAGCAAAAGGAAATTCAGTGATATAACGTTACATGTAACGTTATTTGTTCATTGTAATGACAAGTTCCTGGTACAGAAGTGACCACGAAAACCGTGAATATAAAAGTACCGCGAAAAAAATTGTGAGTTATTGTATATACGAGCACACAGTAATATTTTTTTCTGGGTCAGGTATCTGTAAAATAGCAATTATTCTCCTTTTTTGTAGATGCTGAAGCTGGAGGGACAAGACAACTGCCATTAATTAGCTGGATTAACGTTATTGATAAATAATACATTTGGGAGTGCAGTGCCAGTGGAATTATGTTTGATATGATCACGCACAACATACAGTTTTATTTTTTATGTTTCACTGATCTGTAAAACACCCATTCCTTCCTGTAGACGCTGTAGGTGGAAGGACGAGACAACAGACACTAATTAGATGAATTATTGATATATAATAAATTTGGGAGGCCAGGGGGGATTTTAATCCAATCAAGGAGGATAAAGGATCCAGGTTGAAGAGTTTTCTGGTAGGATCTGAAAATATTCGCACCATAGCTACTCATTTACCACAATAATTCTGCAGTCATAACACGGACAGATGTTGCATTATATGTTACTTAATACTAGTCCAAGCAAAAAAGAAACAAAGTGTTGATATAATAATTTTGTGCAGAGACAAGGCAACTGCAGTCTTCCCGGCAACATTTCTGACCCTAAGGGACCAATAAACCGGCAAAAAAACACCACGTATGTTCATCTCAAAACGAAGTGTAAACTTACCCACTCCAACGACGTTACATGGACAGAGAAAAGAGAGAAACAAGCTCAAGTTTAGAAGCGTCGAGCCGAGCAGCTGATTGTCCTCCGCCATCTTGGGGTTACCAGAGGACAGGCAGTGCATTCTGGGTATACGCACCTGTCGGTCGGACCATCCACTTTACTTCATTGTGAAGTCAAAAATGATTAAAAACTTTTCACTGGATAAAAACTTTGATAATGTTAAGAAGATATGAAGAAGTTTTTAATCATTTTTTAAAGTTTATGTTTTATTCCATTAAAATACCAATATAGATATTCAAACACGAAGACCATCATGTAATGATTGCCTTCGACAGAAGGCTATGAAATCGTTTTGGTACTGTTTGGCAGATTATGCACGCTAAATTTTGAAGGCATGGTCCGAGGTTCACGATTTTTGGCAGGCAGGTTGTCTTAGTGATGGGCATTGTCAAGGCCAAAAATGGGCTTCGTGGGGGGTTCTTACGTGACTGGAGCTGACCTTTTGTGTTTGTGTTTTTTTGTTGTTATCAAGATCAGATAACTCAGGAATCCTTGAATGGTTGTGTATGATTTTTAGTCGGCAAGTTACCACTCACTCTTATTACGTGTAGGCTACAGCAAGTAGTCGGCACACTGCAGTACTACTGCATGTATTACATAAGGGAAAAACAGTTTGTATTCTTCACTACTGCATGTATTACTTAAGGTTTGCGGTGTAGTTGCAAGAGGGCGCTGTGACACTGCTACTTGTTTTTTTGTACTACGCATTAAAGGCATATATGACGCAAATGTAACACATTTTACAGAAGTATATTATGTCCTAGTTGGTGGATAGGTAAGGAGAGAAATTAAGTTGATTATGTATCAATCCACTCTGGTAGATATGATGACATGAATGTGTAATTTAATGGAAGGAAATGTGAAATGTTTTCCACACAAAGATCCCACAAATAGCAGGACACGCAATACTGGGACATTTAAAAAGTTATCAGTCCGAGAGGAAGGGACAGAATAAAATCCTTCATACAAAAACCTGTGAGTGAGTGAGTGAGTGAGTGAGTGAGTGAGTGAGTGAGTGAGTGAGTGAGTGAGTGAGTGAGTGAGTGAGTGAGTGAGTGAGTGAGTGAGTGAGTGAGTGAGTGAGTGAGTGACATCTACTTGAGAACAAGATAAAACATCTGAGGATATAGATTATGTAAATGAGGACCTAATTCGCATAATTAATGGCAAATTTTTATAATTTCATGGTTATAACTGTTGAGAATTTCATACCTGCCACATTTGGAAGTTAAGTGAAGCTGAACATCAATAAACATAATTTATTACAATCATGACCTCATTTGCATAATTGATGAGGAAGTGCTAGAATAGTCTTTTTGTTAAAATAAGGCTGTCATTGGGTGGAGATCGAATATTATCAACTGATATAATCCACGCAAATGAGGCTCTTATTTACAAAATCGATGATTAAATTGTATAATTCGTTAACCGCAAGGGTTAACATCACTTGGCGAAGGTATGAGATCGCGGAACTCTTGTTTGGTATTTTTTTTAAACCAAGGACTATTCTAACGTTTATATCTATGTCCCTCCAAAGGTAATTGAAAAGAACACGTAACTTGGCAATATTGTTTCCCTGTTTGTAATAAAATTGACGCAGAAGAAGTTCGTGAACGAAAGGTAGGCTAGATGTATTTCGATTACACTGACTGACCGTAACGTTACTTACTTTCATAGCTCGATGTACCAGCGAAATTTGTGCTGCCAAATTTGCCCCTCAACATGCAAAACATGGGTTGAAATTCAAAATTTTTCCGGGAGGACATGCCCCCCCCCCCCGCCCAAAAGCCGGGCCTACTCGGGCTCTAGTGGTGCCTTCGGCGCTTCATGCGGGGAAAATTTTCAATCAAAATCTCGTCCTGCCCATACGAAATCTCACTCTATGATTCACGCCGGGGGGAGGGCCTATGAAAAATTTTTTGAGGCGGGGGGAGGGCCTAGGAAAATTTTTTTTGACCTGGGGGGAGGGCCTAGGAAAAAATTTTTTACGCTACCCCCGGACGACCGGCCCCCCCTCGCCGGTAAATATCGTACAGTCCTCATCCTCTCAGCAACCGACCGGGCTATACTTCAAGGTCAGGTCCACTATGTTTCCGCGGAGGTTATTCTTTTCACTGTAAATCACTTGATGTTCACGGTAGCCGTGGACGAGCTGGTAATCGTCCACGGCTATGTTCAGCAAAATTTTACGGTCTGAGAAAAATGGACTTGTTCGCGGAACTACAGTACTAGCATATATTCACGGTGGCGACAGGCCTAGGTGCAGGAAAAAGAAAGTCCAGGAATTATTTGTTATCTGTAATGATTAGTTCACGGTACAGAAGTGACAGTGCACGTGAAAACAGTGAATATAACGGGGGGTGCCCTAATTCCGACCCATCCCTAATACCGAACTACTAAAGTAGTTTGAAAAATCCTTGTTGCGGCGTTATGCATGGGAGCACGTGCCTAAAAATAATCACAAGAATGGACAATGTTTTTGTGTTGATATCGGTAATCTAACAAAGTTTGTTTTAGTTCCTACACTCCGACAACAGACGAGTGAAAAATCTGTGTGAATTCGACGCTTGTTCGGGGGTTGACGAGCGTGTCAAAAATACAGGTTTTGCTTGTCAAACAGCCACTTTGGAGCAAGTCGCGTAATCGTAAAAAGAGGACTTGTTTGGGACAGAAAACAGTTGTAGATTGTTTTAGTCATAACTTGTGTATTATAATGTCTAAACTCTCTTCTCAGATCGACCTGTGTTAAACACTAGGTCGGAATTAGGGCACCCCTGTTGCGATAGAACGTTCCACCGGCAAAATGACAAAAAAACTGCCGTGCGTTTCGTGAGCCATTACGCTTGGGTGCAACGCGCTACACTAAAGTGAAATATACAGCTGTACAGCTTTAATCATTGTGATCTTTATCTGTCAATATTATAGCTCATGTTGCGCGGGTTTTTGGTCAGATAAACTATTACCAAAGGTCTGTGCGTTTGCATGGAACATAGGTCGGAATTAGGGCACCCCCCGTTAACCATGATAACAGATACGTAACAGTACCCCAGACCCCCTTGGTCACGTGACTTACAAGTTACATGTGCTTTCTGATCACATGATCAACAACATGGCTGCCGAATGAAAACAAACTTCGTGGGGTCCTGAGAAACTACGTCCCTTGTTATTGTGAGAAGTATGAAGGGGCTCGTCGTGATAAATCCTTTACCAGACATCGTGTTCTACTGGGGAGACGCTGAATTCACCTCACACATCAACCGTCTGGGAGCGAGAGAGGGGATAGCAGAACAGGTGTGGGAGGGGGGCCATTGAAATAATTTATACAAGACGTTTGCTACATTTTCATGAAGATATGACTCTAACGTCGAATGACGCTGTAGCAGCAACGTTGGTAGATAGCTGTGCATGAACAGAAGCATGAATATTTATTCTGTTGTAACTTTGATGTATGAAATACATAGGTGGGGGGGGCGGACAAATTTCATTTAGCATGAGGAAACCTTAAGTTGAAAGTTTGTGACTCTCTATCTCTGTGAACCTACCAAAGACTCCTAGTAACAAAGCAACAAACAGACAAGGATCTTGGGGGGGCTTGGGACACTCTCAGTGTTAAAAAACCACACGATTATTACTGTCACAAGACATATTATGTTGAGTAACCTTGATTTCCTCCTAATGGTAGAATGGCCTGTCAGATGAAGTGGACCAGAATGCCCTGGTGCAGTTCTTCTCCCCACTGCTGGCATCGCACCGTTTCCTGAAAGCAGAGTTGGACAACCCCTACAGTTCCATCAGCTGTGAGAATGGCTTTCTCTTTGTGCTCAGACAGGTAAGTTAATTGTTGCTTCCAGATACAGAAGTATGTTTTGTGGAAGCAGTGTTTGTGTGCCTGTTTTTCCAGACAGAGTAGGTTGACATCATGTGGGTATTAGTGAAATGCATGTTTGTGCTATCCTATAGCTGGTGTTTTTGCAGTCTTCTAATGTTGCAACTAATGATCTTTATTTACCATGTCAATTCTGATTTGCCATTTACTGTGCATTTTTTACTGAGGGATTGACTTCAATACTCCAAATGTTCTCTTTCCTTCTCACAGTTTGGAGAGCACCTGTACATAGGAGTGTGTGGTGATGGCTCAGAGTCAGAGGAGTTCTTGAAGAGAAAACTGTACGTCTTCCGAAGGCTGGCAGGGGTGCATTATGGGCCAGTTATTGATGAGTAAGTCTTAGCTTTTGATACCATTATTAATATTACCCAGCATTAGTACAGACCACTACCAGTAGACTAGCACCCCAGCTGTAGTAATTGATGTGTGCCCCCGGGGCTATTGAACCAGATGTAACAATATGTATTGTTAGTATTAAAGCATTTGTATTATCGCCGGTTCTATCCCCTCCCTTGGGCGGTGCCGCGGTCGCCTGTTCGAACACGTGCCAGCGCACGTGCCAACGTCGTGTTCGAACAGGTGATCTGTACCGGTACCGTTTGAGGGAAGGGGCTCTAGAACCGGCCGGTTACAGATTGAATAAACCAGTTGAGAAAAAGCCATTGACGAGTTCAGACGTGCGTCCTTCTTCGTCTTGTTACATCTGGTGGCAGCGGTGCGTTGCCGCTTGCGAGCGGCCGCACCCACCGCAACGCCATCCCGACGATGCCGCCCGACTAGCCAACAGCCCCGGCTGAGCAGAACTTGACCGCCGCCATCGCTACCGTGCCGCCTGACCCGCCAGCCCGCTACCCGGCCAAACCGACTCGACCGCTGACAGCCGCCATGCCGCCCGACACACCAGGCCGCCGCTCCGTATCCGACCACACTGACGAAGAACCCGTCGACGCTACCGCTACGTGCCACGACCTCTTTTGTACCCAGCCGTGCTCCCGTGAACCAGGCCTGCTATGAACTTGCCATTTGTCTCAGACATGCAACCCTGCCCAAGACCGTCACCGTGCCATGCCGTCACCTTCCGGCCCGAGCGGACCGTGCCACGTCGCCGCGTCCCGACCGCCGACCGCCTGCGGAACCCAGCCCGCTGACTCCAGGGAGCCCTTGTGTCGCAGACGACCGACCCCATCATGAGTAGGAACTGACTTTCTAACATGACGTGACCTGCTAGATCTTTGCTGCGAACTCTGAGTACTGTATCTCTACCCACAGAAGTTCTAGGACCTATGAACTCTTGTGGTGTTGACTTGTTGTTGCACAATATGTGATGCTTTCTATGTTTGCCCTTGCTCGCACGCCTATGGGAAGCGACCAAGCCGCATTGAGCCTGTGTATTTTTGTATTACTTGCAAAATATGATGCTTGCCTAGTAAAAGTCTACGGGACGACACTGCAAGGAAGATCATTTTTGCATTCCCGGATCACACTGTAGCTGTGTGACGGTCCGGAAGTCCCCGTACTGCCCCACGCTAGGGAGTACGCGAGGAAATGCGAACTTTGCCGAACAACTACAGCGGGACATCCGAAAGTACTTCCTACAGAACTCCCTAACATGGGATACATATGTTAACAATAGTTGTAAATGTGTCTATGAGAATTGATGAGCCAACATATTTCAGAAGAATCTATTACGAAATAGAACAATGGATTTGTAAACAGATTGGATTATGTAACGTATTTAGCATGAGTAGCTTGCAGGTGAGGGCACCTGCTTAAGTAAGGGGGGAGGAATGTAACAATATGTATTGTTAGTATTAAAGCATTTGTATTATCGCCGGTTCTATCCCCTCCCTTGGGCGGTACCGCGGTCGCCTGTTCGAACACGTGCCAGCGCACGTGCCAACGTCGTGTTCGAACAGGTGATCTGTACCGGTACCGTTCGAGGGAAGGGGCTCTAGAACCGGCCGGTTACAGATTGAATAAACCAGTTGAGAAAAAGCCATTGACGAGTTCAGACGTGCGTCCTTCTTCGTCTTGTTACACAGAAATGGGTGTCGCTCTATGCAACACCTGTAGTGGATAGGACTTGAACTTTTTAAAAATTTATGCCTACAGGCTGAGACCAGACTCCTCCCATGGCAGGAAGAGAAGGTGGTCTTACATGAGCAGGTTAATCAACACCTGGGCACACCTGGCCTCAACAGAACAGAGCTTCCTGGTGGAGGTTAGGCAAAGGGCTGCTTTAGTAAATCTGTCTACAACATTAAGCGCTTATGTATATTGAAAATACCTAAAGCATCTCATATATAATGTGACCTTTTGAATTTGTTAAGGGAATGAAATGACAAAACATAGCTGTAAGGATCACTATTTCATACTGTACAAAACTCCCATAAGGAGCTTTATTTCTTCGTTATTCATCAATGGTTTTAATGTTTGATTCTCCAGAAATGAAACAGGATAATATTCGCAATATGGAAGCACTGAAATATTTAGATTACAATATCACAACGGCTGTTTTGTCTTTTTTTCCATAGCTGCATTACCATGCCATGTCTATTGTAACATCAGATGTAAAAGGATGTTGTCTTAAACAACACTCCTATTTTATTTGACAGGCCGTGGAAAGACTGAATGTAAACCAGGCACTGAATGAGACCTGTATAAACATGCTGGAACAGGCTCTGAGTAAGGTACGGTCTGGTGGGGACAAGCACGCTGTACATGCCCTTCTGTTAGTCAACACCAAGCTGCTGGCACTCTACTCAAGGTATGGTTGAAGCTGTGGGTTTGTGTGTCTGTTTGTCTGGATAGATCTAGAGTAGGTTGACAGCAGGGGGGAAGATTGACATGCAGAATGACAGGTCAAAAGATCAGACACAGGAAATGGGATGAACTTGAGAGTTAGTTGACAGCAAGATTGAAAGGCAGAACGATGGGAGGTCTGAAGCCAAGTTTAGATACAGGAACTGGGGCAGGGGTGAACTTGAAAGTCACATAACCTAAATACTAAACTACCACATCATTTTACAAAGTGATGCAACATAGGCAATAATGTAGCTTTTGGAAAAAAAGCACAGAGGACGTAAGAGTTCTGACTTGTACTCTTCCACACGATGTGTTCCAGTCGGAATGCGTGTGAGCTCCAGGCTGCAGACATCCTTGCCATCACCCTGGTGGTAAGGACCTTGTTTCCTACAGGTGACAGTCTGGAAGAACTGCTGTCCTTCACTCACACTCCCTCTACTCCACTCAGTATCAGGAGAGTAACCACAGAGGTAGGGTGGAATTGTAGTACACCAAACCTAACCATTTAAGTAACTGCTATTATTGCATGCTTTTCAAAGGTGTTTTAAAAGTTGAACATTAATAAAGCCTGCATGGCTGTGCAAAAATGTGTGTATCAAAAATTTTCTAACAGCCAAATGAGTGAAAATTCCTTTTGTTAAACTTAAAGTTTAAAGCATTTTAAAAGAATGCAACATACTGTACATGTATAATGGTACTTTTTTGTCTGACTTCAGGTTTAAAAACAGCTTGAAACAAAGTCTAGCTTCAGTGGTTGCCCTATGTCTTTTGGTTTATGACATTTTCTACAGCGTTCCCCAACCCCATCATCAACAGAGTACTACAGTCCCAGCTCCAGTGTTGAGGAAACTGAACAGGTGACTTTTTCATTCACATGTTCTGTGAAGAAGGTTTGTCCATGGACTACATGGGGATAAAATGCATCTGTTTGTCAAAGTATTTGCTGTTAGAAAATATCACGTTAGTGCCAGTGATCTAATCCAACAACAGATTTATTCAAATGTCATTGAAAATTGTTCACCTTTTCTCTGTATTTGTATGAAAGGAAAGCATTCTAATTGATACCAGATTTACGTCTGTGATTTGGCTAGCAAACTGAATGTTCTTGTACTAGGATGATCAGAGCACCTGTATCTCTGACTCTAATTACGGCACTCCAACATTGTAGTATGATTATGCTTTGATGTCACTTTGTGATAACAGTCAGGGCGTAAAAGACAATAGGAGAAATAAAATAGTCTACTTCATCAGGCTTACTAAGTACAAGTTGTATTGTTGCTGTATAACAGGAGAAGTCAGAGGGTCAGGGGGACAGCAGCCCAAGGCCTGTGCCAAGCAGGGACATGTTCCACACTCCCATCATCCCCCATGAGCAGGACAGTTTCCACACCCCCGCAGCTGTCCAGGACAGTTTCTACACTCCCCTCCAACCGACTCCAGCCAATCAAAGAGCTCCAGATCCAGAACGGGTATCATATCATTTATTGTCTCAAATGGTTCATAAATTCAGTTGGAAACTGAAACTTATTCATATACCTTTGTAGGCTAGTATGGCCACAGCTTTCCATTTTGAAGCAACAGAGGTGCAAAGACAAAGATTAAAAGTTGTATCACAATATGTCGATAAAAACAAAAAATTGCAGTATTATTGTAGACAGTTGATTATTGAAATGAATCTCATGTTGAATAAAGAAAATCCTTTCACAATTTGATAATTTCCTGTTGTTTCCAGCAGTCAGTGCACACATAATACATTATGACTCTCTTGACTCTCAATTTTTAAAGAAGAAATTTTTTCCTAACTGTGTGTGGTTTGTGCCTTGCACAGAATCCCCTTCTGCTGTCTGCTTGTGAGGAGGCTGTGGATGAGTCAGCAGAGCAGAGTCAGGAATATGTCCACATGCCTGCCTTCCTACAGACCCCCCTCTGTACCCACTCCCCACACCTGCTGCACTGTGTACCCATCATGCCCGGCACTGTACTGGTCATCGTGAGTGAGGTCAGTCATCAGGGAGTAGTATATATGGTGGAGAGGATGTGTTTTTTGTGGTATGTTTGTGTACTTGAAGCATGGTGCTGTAGAAATCAGTTTCTAGAACCGTTACGATAGAAAAATAGTTACATGTGATCTCAAAGTCATGTTTCTTGTAAATTAGATTTAGATGTTACCTTACACAGTCCTACACTGAACATTGCATGTGGCAAGGCCATTTTGTGTTCAGGGTTGTTGAAAGTTTGTTGAAAGTTTGAATACCCGGCAGGTCCCATGCTATTCCCTTGGGAAAAGCACTATACCCCTACATGTATTTCCTCACTTGAATCAGGTAAAAATGAGTATCTTATAATATAACTTTGGTTAGGGACATCATTTTAGGTGGGAAATGAAGCTTGTTTGAGGGTTGACATCTTAAAAAAAGTAATAGTCATCTGTTATGTTACTCCTTCCACAAATGTGATAAATTTGAATGAATTAAATATTATTAGATACATGATTAAGGTTCCCTATGCCATTTCAGGTCCCGAAGAGCCATCTAGCTGGGCACATCTGTCAGTGTCTGCTGACCCTGGTCACCACAGAGCTGATGCAGGGGAGAAAGGGAGGCTCTGCACGGGAAGGTGGCCAAGGGAGGAACCATGTGGAAGTGTTGGAGGGGAACGTCAAACGGGTCTTAGATGCAACTCGTAAGATGAAGGTGTGAAAGAGTTAACTTATGATGTAGTCCGGGAGTTGTCACTAAGTGACAATGGCAAGTAATAAGGTTGCTTATTTGAGATATTTGCCCCCTTTTACTGGAGAACTTAATCGCTTTACAGAGTTTTAGAGCATTGTCAATAACTGTTTAACCTTTAGCAAAGGAGCCATTTGGCTACAAGTTTTCTATTAGTCACTAAGGCGAAGGTTAGTCATTCTATTTTTTTCTTGTTGATATTACTTGTTTGTTGAGTATGTAAAGTTTTAGCTAGTATAGCTCTAGCATTGACGATATGCACGCACGCCTACACTGGTCCACTGTCAAAGAGAGGTTGTACGCAGGAACACTTTCAATGTTCAAGAAAATTCTCACAACCAAAAAGCCAGAATCAATCTACAAAAGATTACAGACAGTTAATGATACTCACCAACACAATACACGCCTAGCGCATAGGGGGGGCTTCAGACTGCCAAAACCAAGAACAGCCTCAGCCAAACGAACATTTCTGAACCGCTGCACTAAATCATATAACACACTTCCACAACACATCAGACTATCCGCACCTACATCGTTTAAGAAACACATCCAGGAATGGTTGAAAACTGTGGTGGACACCTCCAAACCCTTACAAGCATGGTGGTATTAGAAATGTAGATATGACATGTAAATATGAATCTTTGTCTAAATTTTATTTTTACGACCTCTGACCTCTCGGTACTACTTGCATGTTGTGTGTGGTTATGTAGTGTGTAGTTAAGCCTTACCATGTTGTGATGAAAGTAGTTTGTAGTCGACGACTCCAGGAAGAATAGTATGTATGGCAAATGATGTCTGTACAAACTAATGGAGATCGGTCTAATAAACAATAATAAACAATAAACAATAAACAAAGTTTTTTTGAAAATGTTGGATGACACTTACAAACTGTCTGAGGCAAGCACATGTATTGGAAGCATTATGGTAATATTTACAGTTGTTGTACTTCACCAAAAATATGGAATTGATGTTGGGGAATTGGCTGTTATCAGGGAGGCCTGGAGCGTGTGCACAAGGACCTGGTGAACAGATGGGACCTGGTCAGGAAAGGTGGACTGTCGGAATACATGGACAGTACTGCTGCTAACCCACCACCAAGGTGGGAGCCTCCAATCTTTGTGTTTTGTTCTTAGTGCTTTGTTTACTGCATTTTGTAGGTACATGTATGACAGTGACAGCACCAGATACTAAATACTGACTTGATAGGTATTGTGGCACTCAAGATAGTAACCATAATCACATTGCAGGTTAGAAACAGCCCTGTCAGAGTTCACCAGGACACTAAAGGTGCTGTTCCGGCTGCTGTTCCTGACCTACAAGCCGCCACAGGCAGCTGAGGACAAGCAGAGGGAAACCATGAGCACAGTTCAGGAGCTGGTCAGCAAGAAGATCTGTGACTACAAGGACTACCTGTCAGTCAAGGCTCAGAGGAATGTTACCATGACGACATATCCTTTTTACTGGCCAACAGAGACCAGACCAGGACAATAGAACACTTAGTGTACTTAAAGTTAGAGGTTGAAGGTAGTCCCATTTCCTTGTTGTGGAGGCAGTAGCTATAGGGGCAGTGGGAATGTTAATCCCTTGTTGTGGAGGCAGTAGGGGCAGTGGGAATGTTAATCCCTTGTTGTGGAGGCAGTAGGGGTAGTGGGAATGTTAATCCCTTGTTGTGGAGGCAGTAGGGGTGGTGGGAATTTTAATCTGTGGGGAATGTAGACTGTGTGTAGGGCATGGTATAGGAAGGCAGAGCCCATCCATCTCCTTCCAACACTTTTACCTTCCCAGCCAAAGTCAGGTACTGATTTTACACCAGAGTGGAGTGACAAAAGTACCTTGAAGTACTTTTCCAATGGACACTGTCTACCCAAAATTCCAGGGATCAAAGCTAAGCCAAGGGCAAATATTTTGTACACTGGCCTAGCCACTCAGCTATTCAACCCCACAAATTGTACCCAAGTGTACTTACTGTGACAGAAGATCAACTCTCTGGACAGTCATTTCTTACATTTCTTCATATTAAAAGAAACTATCACAAAGTTAAACAGCATCACATATTTCCTTAACCTAACCACGTATCTGGAAGATTTTCCTGGCCTCATCCATTTCTTGTACATTGACCGGTCCATGGACCTGGTCATTGCCCCAGCCATCAATGTCACAACTAACCCAGACCCTGGCAGCTTTGATGCAACTGCAGTTCTCAAAGTGAAGGTGAGGATTGTCCATAATACATGTAGCAGTGTACCGTGGCTTAGCAGTAATCACTGTACTTTTAGCAGGAGAGGATGGCTCTTGATACTGTTTTTATAATATGTTTTATCTGGTATTTTGAAAGCTTATTTGTGTTGATGAATTCCATAGTTAAGTTTGATACTTTAGATCAACACAGTAAAGACAACTCACCTCAAATTTTTAGTTGCTCTTCCTTCTTCAGGAGTGATAATTTGATTATTGGTGACCTGGGGACATGTGACTCAACTGATGAAACGTAATGTTTTTTTCTATTTCTTCTTGTGGTTTCAGGTTTGGGAGATGGTGCGCCGGTGGCAGCACTACCTCCAGAACAGCTTCACCTCCTCTGTGGTGAGGGATGGAGACTTCTGCTACTCATACTTCCTATGGTTTGAGGACCCCTCAGTAAGTCCAGAGTACTACTGACAGCACACCTATATCAATAATGGCAATGAAGAACTTCTGATAATGGCTGCACATTTCTATCCCAAAGCTTTGATCTACTCAGCTGTATACAAGACTATGAGACCCAAAATAAACCCATGTTTGAAAAAAAATACTTTTCTGGTTTCATGTCAGAGTTTGGGGCTGATGAAATGGTCTATAACCATTGATGAGAATGTTGTTTTGTGTCCAGGGTAACCCGCTATCCCCCCAGCAGCCAGTGAAGCAGGTACAAGGAGCACCTCCAGGCATCCTGGCAGGACACTACTACAGGTAACTTTGCTTGACTAATGTTGTAAACATCCAGGATATACAATGTACATGTACATCCCACTTCTGACACCATTTTATGGTTTCCCTGTTGTTTTTAACTAAAGAATTAGCAACTACATGTATTACAATAGCAGTATACAATGGATTCTTTGATATCTGTTTCTAAAATTCACTTCTATGTTTTCAGAGACCTGTGTGCTAGGTGCTTTCCCACAATGCCAGTGGGTGCGGTGAACTGTTATGAGTTGATGTGCATGCACGTGGGGGTGATTCCTGCGGAGTTTGTGGCGTCACACTGTCGGAAGCTGGCAGCCATGTTATGGGAAACTTCAGGGGAGGCTCACTCTCCCATCAGCCTATTATAAGGGTCTGACCATGCATCATGGAGAAGGAGAATGTTGCAATAGGAGAAGTAAATTTCTCTTTGTAATGTGATTTTGCTAAAATACTTTCTCATGAAACAGTGAAAAGTGACCAATATTGTATTTTGGTAAAAGAGCTTGCTTCAAAAAGGAACAAGTGAAGAGGATAATTGTATACATGTATAAGGACCTGAATCGTATAGTGCAATATTTGTTTTATATGTCGTTACAATCTCAATATGATTTTTAAATTTTTTTGTTACTCTTATTCGTCAGTTTGAGACGGTACATTCATTTTCATTGCATATAAGTGTATGACAGCCTTCCTCATAAAACATTTTCTATTTTAGATGGTAGGAAAATTAAAATTTTGTGCATTTGCCCAGGTTTATTTGTTTATTTCAAGGAGGTTAAATACAATTGTATTTAACCTCCTTGTTTATTTGAAGGAAATACTTGCTGTTTCACATTGTTGCATTTTAATGTGTCACTGTTTTAATATGCAAGGGGTAAATAATGCTAAAGCCTTTGTGCTAAGTCTTTTACTTGGCCTGTCTTTGATACATGTACTCTTTAGCATTACATTATTACATATGGTAGTAATCATAAATGTTTTTATCATCACTGCTGAATATAAGGACAGTGTTTTCTGCTTTAAAGAGTTATTATTATCACCATTAAAAATGATCTGTTCCATTTTAATGTCAAGTTCATAACATTTTGTATTATGAAGTTGCAAAAGTTGAATTCACAATCAGACATCATCATTATAATGGTGTTTTTTTTATTATATAAACTCCTGAAAAAATAAAGTAAGGTTTCTATTCGTTATATGTTGTCATCTCATCTTACTCATAGTTTGGATTTGCATTTAACAGGAATGCCAAAGGAATCCTTTTAGTATTACCAGACAACTTTCACCTTTATGTGGACATTGAACTTGCTCATTCATTTGCAGTGAGCCAGTCCATTCAGGCAGGGAAAACAAGGGAATACCTAGAGAGGAAAGGATACAAAATATCTTTAACTACATTATGTACAACTAAGGGATGTTATGAGGTTATAAAATATATTTTTAATCTCCCTGGTACAAGCAAGGTTTCTTCGAGTTTTGGAAATTCAAAGTTCCCGCACCTTGCCCCTCCCATTTCTGAAGTGAGATCGGCCAAATCAGGTTGGACCTAAAACCGCAACAGAATGTAACTAGCAATTATATACTCTGTGTATGTTCCTCACTAATAAACGTTTATTACCTCACAATAAATCACATAAGCAGTATTTTTTATTATTATCACGTTTACGTACTGTACATTCATGATTATTTGCATCGCATAATCGCTAAAGCACGTCATAACTTCATACGTGTTGTTGCTGTCTATGACATTAAAAATCTTGATATGGCGACGGTGGTGTGACATTCGGGTGATGTGGACCCACATCATGAGCTGGGGAACAAAGGTCTCTCTTCCTGGTGACTCGTCGTTAGCATAGACCATCTTTAAGATGTGTAAGCTGCGAGATTAGCCTGGGAAAATACCTGCTAGGAATCTGGACTGGCGAGCGAGTCGCGCTTTTGACCGGTGGATGTCACACCTCTTGTGTAAAGGTCAACAACCCGACCAACAACCTACCGGCCGCGGCTTTCCTCTGCGACACGCCGAGTTCTGACTCACGACTATGTGTTTTTGTTGAGGTTTATTTGCGTCCTTCAGCAACAGGTCTCTCTCTACTGCACCATGGCGGAGAACGGAGCCGCCGAGCCTGCGGTGGACGGGCAGACAACGCGCCGGCCCCGCCTGGGGAGCATGAGCCGGCCGCGTAAGTTGACGTTGGTTTTACAAATTTGTGTAGAATTATATACCGGCGAGCAAGACTCTTGCGATCGCTTAGTAGTTGAGTACGACGTAAGCTTTTACCTTAACGTCCACTAAAAAAATATGGAGGTATTGTTTTGAATTGAAAACACGCTGACTCTGACATAATTTTAAACACCCATTCATGCGTCATGACCTTTGATCATCATATATATATCATACATGTATATGGGTCATATAACGCTACAGTACACAGCCTGTACAGATACAGACCCATAGTACCTGTACCTGTTCAAAATACGTTTGGACATTTTTTTTTGTTGATTTCAAAATATTATGCTAGATAATAAGCTGTCAGAATTCTTAAGTTATTGAGATGCAATTTAAGTGTTAAGTAGTAAATATCAGTTACATACATCTTCTTCTTCATCTTCTTGAGTACCCCCAAATAACCCCGCGAGAGGTGCCGTTAGGGGGGGAGAGGAGGTCAAGGCTAAGGCGGGGCCGCAGTTACACTCTATATATTCAATTAATTCAATTATGAAGTGTTATTTGGTAGATGTTCATGGTTGTCAATGCGTTTTCAATCTTAAACATAAGATACATTTGATCTGTTTTGTTCAGCAATCCAATAGAACAGGCCCTCGAGAGATTTTTGATATTATGTAACTATGTAAATTCCATCATGAACACAGCTAATACTAGTAATAGCACTGTAACTATTTCAGTAGTGAACAGTACAATAATTGATCTGTTGACAAAGGACTTGATGGGTCCAGAGGTCATATCAGTCACGTTTTACCCACATGAAACAAGTTAAATATTGAAAGAACTGGTACTCAAAGTACATGTGTGAAGATAGGTACACCTTGCACCTGCATGTACTCCTAGTTTCTCTCTCCAACCCCCTTTTACCTGTTATAACCTATTAAAGAAATCTGAAGCTGTATATGGGTGTACATGTACCTAACACATAACCTTCTTGACGAAGGTATATTTGTATAAATATCACATTGATTCACTGTGTCGTTGCCTCACGATCATAGCAAATGATTCTATATTGTCTCTCAGCATTTCCCTGGTTTGGAATGGACATAGGAGGAACTCTGGCCAAGTTGGTGTACTTCGAGCCCACAGACATTACGCCTGACGAAGCCGAGGCAGAACGAGACAGTCTGAAGTCCATCCGCAAATATCTCACCTCCAATGTGGCGTACGGCAAGGAGGGGATTCGGGGACACTCATCTGGAGATGAAGAACTTGGCCCTGTGTGGTCGGAGGGGAAACCTGCACTTCATCCGCTTCCCCACGACAGGGATGGAGCGTTTCCTCCACATGGGCCACGAGAAACACTTCTCCAGTCTCCACACAACCTTCTGTGCCACGGGAGGAGGGGCCTATCGCTTTGAGGAGGACTTTCTGCAAGTGAGTCAATATGTGTCGATGACTGACAAAAGAGCCATTAAAACTACTCTTAATTGTAAATCTATTAATACTATATACTTTGATTAAAAGTGCAGGGTGACAAATAGCCCAGGTGCCATCTTTCATCATTACCACTTTGATATCAAGCATAAGGGGAGAGCCAGTGGTAAGTATGTATACAGAAGATGGATCCAAAACATGGTGCCTTTGTGCTGATGAGAAATTTCCCCAAATTTCAAAAGAAAGGCTCATTCTAGTCATAGCAGCAGTTGGAAAGCTAATTACTATTGTATATATACTAATGTGGAAATCAAAACGATTACCCCTCACTCCCTGCTGCATGTTGAGTACTGTAATACTAATAGTTACATTGATACTTTCTTGTTTATCTGTCCAGATTGCAGGTTTGCAGTTGAACAAGCTTGATGAGCTGGATTGTCTGATCCATGGTATCCACTACATAGATTCCAATAAATTCAACGGCAGCTCAGAGTGTTATTGGTATAAGAACCCTACAAGAGAGGATTTGTGCGAGAAGATGCCATTTGACTTCCGTAACCCATATCCCTACATCGTGGTGAACATAGGGTCAGGGGTCAGTATCCTTGCTGTGTATTCGCAGGACGACTACAAGAGAATTAGTGGAACCAGGTAGGTAGTTTATGTAGGTTTTTCTTCTATTTTTCTAAAGGTAGATTAGGCCACACCCATTCGCATGTTTCATTTTTTTTAATTATTTGAAAAAAGAAAAGAAAAATCAGGTTGAGAATCATCTCTACGTACATATTTTTGTCCCAACTGCTTAAGACGTCTTGCAAGGTTTTCCATCTAATAATGCAGTGGATTGATTGAAATTCAAAATTCATTGTTTGAATCACAAACCAGCCTCTGGTATTTGACTTCATATCTCCTATCATGATTCATAGGATGCATAGCCCTGTTTTTTTCCCTATCGCTTTTTTTTCCGTAAGAAATCCAGGATCCAACAATCAAATCGGTCACTGGGCCAGTGTAGCCATAGTATGCAAAATTGCAGTGAAAGCTAAGATTACTCAAACGAGTCTAAGCCTTTCTATGTGTATCATAAGAAGTACATTCTGTAGATCTTGTGAATCAAATGTGAAATGCAACATCATCATTGCCATTTCCACTTTTCTGAGTTCATGTTTTCCATGATGTAAAATACAGTCCTTTCATCCTCCCCCCAGCCTTGGTGGTGGAACATTCCTTGGCCTGTGTTGCCTGCTCACAGGCTGTGACACATTTGAGGATGCGATAGAAATGGCTGCAAACGGGAACAGTAATAATGTGGATAAGTTGGTCAAGGATATCTACGGTGGTGACTACACGCGCTTTGCACTCTCTGGAGACACTGTTGCATCAAGGTAACTCTCTGTCCTTGTTATACATGTATATTTGTCATTGACTTTTTCCTGCATGGAGACTCTGTATTTGTTTAAGTACAATTCTGAATGATTTCCAAAAGCAACGTAAGTTACTCGCCTTTGGACTGCTTTAGCTTTGCTTAACGGTATATGTTGCAATAATGTAAGAAATATTTAGTGAAAGAGTACAATCTACAATCAATCACTTTCAGACATATGCGATGAGCAACATTGCTTTGTTTGAAGAACAGAGGACAGATTGTACATTTAAATGTTCCGTTTGTCTAGTTTTGGCAACATGCACATCAAGGAGAAGAGGGAAGCTGCCAGTAAGGAGGACCTGGCACGAGCGACACTGGTCACCATCACCAACAACATTGGCTCCATAGCCCGCATGTGTGCCCTCACTGAGGTAGGCATTCAGGACTTTAGCCTGACTACATCACTCATCTATCTTTCACCAATTGTGCCTTTGAGTGTTGACCCGTGGTATAATGTGCTTCATTGCAACTGTAACTGTTAACTGTAATATTTTACATTGCCAACAGAAAATTGAACGTGTGGTGTTTGTTGGGAACTTCTTGCGAGTGAACCCCATCTCCATGAAGCTTCTGGCTGATGCCATGGACTTCTGGTCAAGCGGACAACTCAAGGCACTCTTTCTGGAACATGAGGTGAGGTTTGGTTTGATTAGCCCATGCTCCTAAGTGCTGTCATTCATTCCTCCATAAGTCCTGCACAAGTCCCACAGTCGCTCCCACTGGTGGGAGCGACTGTGGGAGCGGACGTAAACTAACCAGGATGGTACCCAGGCTAGCTATTTACATGTAGCGTTCATATCTACAATATGGAATGTAAATGTGTAGATCTGTGTACCATGGAAGAAACCAAACAATATCTTCTGTTTTTTGTTTCAGGGTTACTTTGGAGCTGTAGGTGCACTGCTACAACTCACCAAGACCTCTCCATTTGATCTACCTATTGACCAATGAACACGTCCTAGTGAGTCTTCACAACACTGCCAACACACCGGGACCAGTCTGAACCTCTGCAGCTGTACGACTTGTTCACAGCACACATTCTCTGCTCTGTAACGTGCCAACATTCACCTGTGGAAAAATACACTACATGTACCAGACTGTGGTTAGATTTCTCTGCTGTTATTGGATATCATCAGAGTTGTTTATTCACAAAACAGAACTACCTAATAATATGTATAAACTGAAACAACAAGAACTGCAATTTGTGTGGCCAAATTACAGGTATGTATTAGTCAATAACAATGCCAAACAATAAAATCAAGGAGGCCATGCAACAAT